CTCCTGTTGGCACCAGCTTACCGGTGACCATGTCTACTCAGGTCAGTTCCTTTCCTACCACTCCTGGAGGGGCCACCACGGTTTCAACTGCTCCCATTGGAGGAAGCACTCCATCAACTACCGAGCCTGCCACCACCACACCTGGGGCCACTACTGAGGCGAACACCTTGTCAACAACTCCTCCGGGCACCAGTTCACCGGTGACCACGTCTATTCAGGGCATTTCCTCCCCTACTGTTCCTGGAGGCGCCACCACATCCTCAACTGCTCCTGGTGGAGGAAGCACTCCATCAACCACTCAGCCTGCCACCAGCACACCTGGGGCCACTACCCAGGCCAGCACGCCAGCAACCGCTCCTGCAGGCACCAGCTCACTGTTGGTTCCGTCTACTCAGGCCATTTCCTCCCCTATCAGTCCTGGAGGCGCCACCACGCATTCAACCTCTCCTGTTGGAGGAAGCACACCATCAACCACCGAGCCTGCCACTGCCACACCTGGGGTAACTACTGAGTCCAGCACCCTGTCAACCTCTCCTGAGGGTACCAGCTCCCAGGTGACCACGGATACCCAGGCCAGTTCATCTTCCATAACTCTAGAGGGCACTACCATGCCTCTGTCCACTCTGAGCGAAGGAAGCACTCTCAGCATCGCCCGTGTGACCAGTTCTGAGGCTCGCACACGTTCAAGCCCTCCTGTTGACACCCGCACACTTGTGACCACTTCTACCGAAGCCAGTTCATCTCCTACCACTCTGGAGGGCACCACCATTCCTACTACGAAGGAATTTACAACTGCAGTGACTACTGCCACTTCCCTCACGTATGTGACTGTGTCTACTGCCCCCAGCACACCCAGCACAACCAGCAGAGGTTCCACTACCTCTACATCAACTCTTTCTGCAGCCAGTACGCCTCACACCTCTATTTCCGTCATCACCCGTTCTGTGACCCCTCTGTCAGAATCCAGCTTGTCGTCAGCAATATCTTCTCACACCGTCCCACCCGTGTTTCCTCCTGGTCACTCCAGTACACCTTCAACCACGTCTGCCTCCCCAATGCCTGTGACCACTGCCACTGTCACTACCATGACCACCAGGACAAATCCCAGTACACGGATCACTTCCTCCCCCACGGTGACCACCACCACTGTCCCCAGGACTACTTCCACAATTAAGAGCACCGCCACCTCAACTCCTGCTGTGCCAACAACCACACCACGTAAGTCATTTCTTGAATTTTCATTTTTGAAACTGACATTATTTTTCAATCTCCACTCCCAACATTTTGTGGTTTTCTTCTTAAACATTTTGCTAAACTCCTTTTGCTCTGACTTACTTGTTTTCCGTTTGATAAAACCGGCATCGAGGTTCTCCGTCTGAGCACTCTCGCTTCTCCGATCTTGCCTTGCTGTTTCTTGCACAAGTTCCACTATTTTGAACAAAGCATGACCACTCCTTGTCTGGGCATCTCAATCTGTGGTATTCTGTCCACAAGTCCTGTTTTCTCTCTTTTATATTCTGCAGGTCCCTGTTCCATTGCACTTTGTATGCCCGAAGATTATTAAATCTGAGTGGTTTATTTATGTTTTCTTTTAAACTTTTTAGTTTACTTTGTAAACTTTCTAGTGGATTTTCTCATTGATTTTGTTCATACTAAAGTACGAACTTTTTTTTTTTTTTTTTTTTTTTTTTTTT